GAGCGCAAGAGGCGCTGGCCGAAAGCGTTAGACGGAGCTCCTTGGGAACGACCAGACCAGTATACTATGTGGTGTTGTGCGGGTGAGGTAGTGATGAGAGGGAAGAGAGCGAGCGGGAGGAACAGGTTAAGAGGAACGCACACGGCCCTGCGCGGCGTGTAATTGGCTGTGGGGCTTAGCGTCATCGGCAAGTGCGCTCAGACCTCGACGCTCGAAGCAAGCGCGATCAGCCATCATGACGGCGGCTCCTTCGGGCTAGCGCGGGAATCCCACACTTGCATGCAAGTGCAAGCGCAGGTGCAGGTGCGAGCCAGCAGCACCTTCTCACCGCATGAATCCTGCCATCCGCCAGCCCGCCGCCGTCGCGATCCACACCGGACGCCTACGAGGCCTGCGACGGAGCCTGCTCCTGTGCTGCGCTGGCCTCGCCAGCCCGCCTCTAATCATGCGGGACTCCACGCACGGCATGTTTCATTGCGGACGCGATTCGCTTGTCGAGTCAGCATGTTTCCCTTACCGCGACGGCCGTAACTCGAAGCATCCGTCGCCCGTTGCCAAGTGGAGATCATCACTATTGTCTGCGTCGATAGCGTCCAGCACATATAGAACCGGAAGCAAGCCTATCCATTACTCTCAGGTACAGTGCCCGCTTGTATATCTCACATGAATCCTCCGGCCCAGGGAGCGCTAGCCCGTCGACTCGAATTTGATCTTTTGTGGAACAAATGGAATTTAGATCGAACAGAGCGTCTAGCCCTTGGGACCACTGGGCACAGCGTTGGCATAATGTTTTTGAAACGGGACCCCATGGCTTCTCCGTGGGGTATACTCTGTCGGTGTATTGCACCGCTCTTATACGGGAGATCCTGGTGATCTTACGCTTGACGCTGCAGCCAGCCGTCAAGTCGTTGATCGTCTCGTGGACACATTATGATCTTGATCATCTTAACGTTGCCGTCTTAATAGATCATCTCATTTTAATCTCAATATTTTTCCTTGTAAAGTTCGTCAGGAAGCAAAAAGTTGTAATAACTTAGTATAGTCGTAATCCTAATGTAGTTGTCTGCATATACCATAGTACACACTTAGATCTAAAAATTTTAGTGTCTCGTAAGCAGAACAGCTGCCTAGTAATAAGCATAATAAAATAAATCTTCTACAGAGTAGAGACCTTTATTACAAAAATAAACATCTTCCCTAGAGACCCGCGCCTATCCCTACAGAACAAGAACACAGCGCCCTTTTAAACTTATACAACGCCTACTTAGGTCCTTGTTAACAAGACTATAAATGCAAAGCAAGCAGTACGCATTAACCTTGCCGACAGATTCCCCTACACCTCTTAGAAGCTTAGATTGTTTGCGCTAGACAAGGAATAGCTAAAGGAGCAGCTTAACTATAACTATAAGTAGCCTAGCCCCTTCATCATTATAAACAGAAATCTAACGAGTGTGTAGAGTACATTAACACAACTAAATAGATAGAGAGAGAGTGCAGGGCTCTCAGTGAGCTCGTTCGGAAATTTGACGTTGGAGGCGTCCTTACTGAGAACGAGAGGCGTCTCGTGGAACTCTGGTAGCGCTAATCTACGAGAGCCGGAGTAATTACAGCATCTGACATTGAACGACATCGGATTCGGTATGCACTGGCCTTGTACATAATCGTGACCCGTGAACAGGTGTACGTATATCATATGATACGGTGATTCTCCAGACTGCGTACCCACCAATGGCTCGAAAATGTTGAACGTCTTGCTCAACGTGTTCAAGTGCACCGGGGACTTTTTATGGCGAGCTCATTGTAGGGTGTGGTGACCCAAGTAAGTCGGCACTAAAACCATCATCTGAACACCAATGGATCAGCGCATGATAGACAGGACGAGGTCAATATCGCGCAGCAGCAGTACAGTGGCAGCAGAAAAATATGGCTAATTCAGCAGTCTCTTGACGTCCATAATGCTATTCATCATCGGTTGCAGTGTGCGGGCATTTCTGATGATGGCTGTGCATGGTGCTCCCACTGGCCGCCCGGAGCGCGTACGGTGAAAAGATAATCCAACAGCGACGTCGTCACCGACCAGTTAGTAGCTTCCGATCCACGCTGCAAGCAGATAACATCTCCCATGTCTTAGGAAAACGACAACCACCATAATGTTGTTGTCACTTTCCCATTCATCCAAGGCCATGAGGACCTGCTCCCTCTTGCCATGGTTCACGCTAGCGCAAAAATCGCAAAGCTCGCACAACTCTCCTCGGCGGCCTCTTACACAACACGCTCCTCTCGCTTTGCAACACCAGAACCTCGCGCGCGATCGCGCAACAATACCGGACCGGTGCTCTGGATAACTCTCCACGACATTTCTACTCGCAATCTCGAATACGACGCGCTGAAAAATGGCTGGCTACGGGGACTCGGATACGCAGATGGGTGGAGGGCCAGGCCAATACGCGAACCAGAATGGCACACCACCTGCGCAGCAACACCAGTTGACTGATCCCGAATTGCGCCTACAGGAGAACCTACAGCAGCTGCGCGACGGTGGAGACATGATGCACCCAGTCGGTCCCCAGCAGCCTCAGTACCAGCAGATGGCTCATATGGGGCCTGCAATGGGCGCGCATCCGCATTTTGCAGGTCCAACGCGCCCTACGCATTCTCCACAGCAAATGGCGCAACATGTCATGAATATGGACGGACACCACGACCCTTACGATCCCAACGACCCGAATCGCAAACGCTCCAAAGTCTCACGCGCCTGCGACGAATGCCGAAGGAAGAAGGTATGCGATGCCTCCAATCCTGCACAACATGCGCTTACGCTGGGTAGATTCGATGCGACGCGACCAGCGAGAACGGCCCAGAAGCCTGCTCTAGTTGCAAACGGACTGGCGCCCGCTGTCAGTTCAGCCGTCAGCCTATGAAGCGCGGCCCGAGCAAAGGGTATGTAGATTGTGTGCAGTTTGGCGAGTCTGCTAACAATTTCCAGCTATATCAAAGAACTTGCGGACCGGCTTAATTCGCTCGAAAGCCAGATTCACCATCCTCCGGCGCAGTCGCATAACTTCGATTTCGGAACGTTGGGTGATCAGCCGTTTCCCGATACTCAGAGCCCACCGCAGTTCAAGCGTCAGCGCACTCACTCCATGACAGACGGGTTCCACGAGGCTTTCAGCCGGCCCAACTGGTCCGCACAGGATCGCGGTAATGGTGGATCTGTAGACGCACATGGTCTGCCTGTGTTAGGTGATCAAGACTCGTCGCTCAATGGCAACCGTCGTACCTCTTTTGGAGAAATGAGTTTGGGTGGCAGTCTTATCACAGGCTCTCATGAAGAGATTCTCAAAGCGTAAGTATACCCGCACATGTGAATCTTGCCAGACACTAAATCATATCTCAGGTATTACAACATCATTCATCCCACGTTGCCTGTTCTGCCACATCACGAGTCACAACTGAACCGCCTTACAAACTGTCCGTCGAAGCTGCGAGAGACGTTCTTCCTCGTGCTAGAAGGCTGTATCCGGTCTATCGCCTCGAAGGCTCTACCACCTATCGATATCAGCCTCAATCAGCTGTTACAACAGTGCTTTACTTCAGTCGACGCGGCGAACTATTGTCTTCATGACACGGACAGCTCACGACGGTTCTACAACCACTTGGTGTACTGCCAGTCACTGATCCTGCTTGCCGCAGCATCTGACAGGCCTGGTCCAAGCATCATAGGCAGTACTACTGGACTGCTGGCCCGTGTCTCAGCATGTATCGCAGATGTCGGAATAAATGATGCCAGAACATTGGCTGGACTGAAAGAACAAGATCTCGAAGTGTATCAAACAGCACGGCGCGTATATTGGACTGCGTTGATCATAGACCGTTTCCACGCGTCTAGTCAATCGACGGACATGATGATTCGAAGATACTCAGGAACACTTTCGCGAGACGACTACTCAGCTCTGGGTGAAGTCGCTTATTATCTCGCTCGTAAGTGCAAACTCATTTCAATTAAAGACCATTCAAGACTGACATCCATCAGGTGTTGCCCTACTTGTTGGCCGCATAGCCTACGTCAATCGCGCGGGAAGCATCCCAAATGTTGATCCAGCAGCACCCTTCGCCTTTTCCGCGCTCAAACCCGGAACCACAGAGTCCGAGTACCTCAACGGAGCATTAGATGAAATCAAGCAGTCCATCGACCTAACTACCTTGACGAGTAACTCGCCCCCTCATCTGGCGCACCAGTATCTCAGAGTGTTCATCGCACGACTTTCAGGGCAGAACTTGCCTTCCGCCGAGGTTCTCGAAGTCACCAAAGACCTGCTCAGCAACCTCATGAGCGGCGCTATCACTCCCTTGCACCACATCTTCGCTGCCCTAGTCGCCACATCCCTCACTGAACTAAACGACCGAGGCGAACTAAAAGCAGAAGCAAGCGCAACCATCAAAGAAATGAGCGACGCCCTATCAAACGGCCAAATCATCCACCGCAGCTCCGACGGCCTAGGCTGGGAAACCGCAATTGGCGATCTCCTCCACAAGAAGAAGTCTTCCACACCTCCCTACACCGGTCCCGAACAAGCCAGCCCCGCGCTCGAACCCAACATGGCCGGCCTGCAACATCTCGCTGCTGCCGCAGTGGGAGAACGGGAAGGAACGGGTGATAATAACCGTCCTGGTAGTTCTTCGCAGCAGAAGGTTGATAATGATCTTTCTGCTGCTATGGCGGCGGCGAATGAGGCTGCTAAGGCGCAGGCGACTGCTGTTGCGGCTCAGGATCTGTTCCACTAGATGTGGTGAGCGTGGTTGTGCGTGAGCGATGTTTGTCTTCTGGTTTGTAGTGGATATACCCCTTTTAGCGGTGAGCCGGTATGATGGTCTGAATTGTAGGCTTGTATCATTTTGTAATGAGATTCGTTTGTCTACTTGCTCTGTTGAACTCAGGAATTGTGAGATGTTGTGCCCCCATCATTACTACGTTTCGGAGGTATGCGCAGTATTCCGCCTTACTCGTCCACAGCATCATTCTCGACCTCGTCGAGCGATTCGCTTTCGTCTTCTTCGATCAAACCGTTCTCGCCTTCATCAACCATGATAACACCCATTGCTCGTCTACCCGCAGCATATGTAGCCTCGTCCTCTTGCTTCAGTCGATGCAGTACGATGTTGACCTCCGGTACTAGTACGTCGTCGACGAAAGATAATAGACCGCCGTCATGCGAGTCGTACCGTGCGTCAAAGAGAGGTACCAAGTCTTCTAGCAAACGTACGAGATAGGCGTCTTCTTCTTGGACGCGGCGCAACTCGTCCAGGGGGTATCGCGGTGGAGGCACACGCTGAAGGTCAGGCTCGGTCGGTTGGTGGAGAGAGTCCAAGAACCACCATAGATCGCAACAGGTGTGCCGAATGCCTAGCCAGGAAAAAATACATAGCCTGATGAGTTCGCTGATTATCCACCTATTCGCCGCATCTTTAGCCACCTCTGCTACGCATTGCAAAGACTTCCTACACTCTTGATACCTACCCTGATCGTGAATATGAACGCGCTCCAGCCTTAGTAGACCCAAAATCCTTCCATGACTTCTAGTTTCCCTCCACCAGAAATCGTGACTGAAGAGAGAATTGATACTAGTACAGCCGTGCGTACTACAGCTGCATTGGCAATCGTCTGTGACCGTGTGTCGGAACAACTTTGCAATGATATCGCAGACATCGTCTGTGATGGCCACGCTGCGGCCGAGCATGAGGTGAGCCGCCTGTCTGCTGATCAAATGTGACGCGGTAATCTTTGAGTCCGGAGAGCAATCGGTGATGTTCACCCCTTTACCTATGAACCAGTCTATCATTTTGAAAAACTCGGGAATCTGGTCAGGGTGCCAATGAAATTTTGTCCAAAATGAGATTCCGAGGTACAATGGCGAGCTAGCCACATTGTGGCAGCATTCTGTTTGTACTATAGCAACGTCCTTGAAGCCAGTGTCGTACAGGAATTGTAGGATCTTTAAGGTAGAATTTGACGAAAAGTTGGCATCAGATTGTCGAGATTCGTCATAGATTGTGCGGAAATTGTATATGTTTACTGAAGTCGGTCGAAGAGAGGGCGGAATGTTGAAGCCTATTTTGTCAAGTGCATGCGTTGCACACGTGGCGTGGGCGTCAAGAACACCTCTTGATCTTTCTACGCACTCGCATTCGACTCCAGATTGTTGTATCATCTGACGAAGCTGGTGTCTCTGTTCGATCAGATATGCGGCGATGATCTCTGCTATATGCACTTGAGAACCCGCCAATGCGTGTACAATTGCAGCTTCTAGGCTCCCGATGTGTTCAAGACAATCTGCCGTAGCGTTTCCGCGCACAGCAAGCCAAAACTGCACCATAGCTTGACTCTGAGAGTCTACGGCTTCTAAGAGAAGCAACGTAGTCGACGTTGCGGGAGGCGCATCAATTGTATAGCTCAAATGAGCATCGAGGAGGATCTGGCAGCCGCGTGTCCAGCCCATAAGAGTTGTCAAATGATACAACTTTGATGCCACTCCTCTGTTCCACGTGTGGTCAAGACTGTGCGTTTGTATCGCACTGCTGAAGTCCATTTCCGATCTCAGCAACGCTGCCACAGTGGTGTCACTAAGGTCAAAGAAGGGATCTGGGAAAGATGTGAACGAAGTTCCGACCCACGAGCCATAACTTTTGGCCAAGTCAATAGCTGTGGATATCTTTAGGTCGTAACGCAGAAGATCGGACCCCAAGATCTTGAATCCGGATTTGGATGCGAGATGGTCGCTCGAATCCTGCAAGAGGAGGTCGACGCATGTTCTATTCTCAAATGATTAGTCGTTTCCGGGATTCAGCAACGCGTCTTGTTTACCTTCCGGTGTCATCAGTATCCGATGCAGTTGCGTAAGTCATGCAACTTAGAAGCTGATCTATTAATAATTGATAGGTACCAACGATGCTGGGCCTCATGAACATTGCTGTGTTATTGATACGTGCACAAAGGTACTGTTCGCTTTTAGCAATGCCCCCAATAGTCATAAGAGGTGGTCAAAAGCTCACGTGTAACAGCGTTTTTCCGTCCCCCAAACGTTCGTGCGGTGAAGCCTGACGTGTCTGGAATATCTTGGTTAGCTCCGCAGAGCAAGTGAAGCCAGATCCATCAGCCTGGTGACAAAATATTATTTTATCAATCAACTTGAACGCTGGGGAAGAGTCCACAGTGACGATACGACGAATCGCCAAGGTCGGCATGATCGAGAAAGTCCCACTTCCAACCAGCAGTTCCATGAACAAGCGAAGCTTCAAGCCCAGGACTGAGGAACACAGTATCATCCCGAAACTAAGCGTTATATCGCGACTCCAAGCTATCCAGAGTGGGCAACTTGGATCATGAAAGTGAATTTCGTTCCGCGACACGACGAACGGTAACTGCACAACTTGCTTCTTCAGGTGACGCTTTCGGCATGTACACGATTTGGAGGTGTTCAAATTCTTCATTAGTCGTGATCGCGTACATTGTGTTGCCCGCTCGAGATGTTGAAGGTTGGTGGTCTCCCGTTCTAGACCAACTGCAGACATTGGCAGCAGTGCATGGCTGAAATCTTTCTGTGGCCACGCTGCGGGTGCACTTGGTAATTGAACTCCAATCAGAGGATCCTGGGCAAATGTATGACCATGCCGGCTGACGAAGGGCTGTATGAAATCTGGATGTCGTTGATTGGTAGCTAACTCTGCGCTTGTGCTCCAGCTCTGTTCGATAAAGTAACCATTAGGCGATGTCTGAGTGCGTCGCTGCTGATCGAGAATCATTTGAGTGTTGAGCGAAAGTTGGCCAAGCTGTCCCTGTACAGTCGCGAAGTTCTGTTGCCACTGATCCCTGGGAGCTGTCAGCTGATTTGTCGTCCCCACACCGGTGCAGCAATTACATCTCTAACGCCTGCAATGCAATCTGCAGGTTCTGTCGAACACTGCTCAAAGCATCTCTCCAGTACTTGATGTCGCTTTCTTTGAACGGATACGCTAGCCTTTTGATCACTTTCCGCGACTGCGTCGAAAACCTGCTAGAGTTCGTCGAGGGAGTATCATCCCCAACTTTCGTCCTGATCGACTCTATGGAAAGCGCGCATTGCTGTATGATAGCTTTGACTAATGCGATAGGTGTCGTAGGGTCCATCCTGCTAGTGGCGGTCTCTAGATGCTCGAGGAGATCCACCAGTGTGTCCAGTTCGCGAGTAATCTGTTCAGCCTTCTTTTTCGCATCTTTGACACCATTCGTATATTCGGAGAGTTTGTCGTACAACTGCAGGGACAGAGATATGACACCAACGATGGTGCCGGCCACTTCGGCCATGGCGGGCGTACACAGAGATGGAAGGAGCGACGAAGCGAAAGGCTGGAAAGTGGGCAGATGATAAGACTTTGAAGGAAGGCGCAGCACAGCTGTGCGCCTGCCGCAGATGGCGTCCACTCATCGGAGTCGGCAATGCGGGGATCAGTCCAGCCTTGCGACAATGTCAACCTTGCAGGCTTTCAGCCTGGCCTCAGCTACGTGTTCGCTTGAAGGATCTGAGCACGTTGGCGTGATTGACGCGCTTCGTTGAGTGTTAACAGCTTGATCTTTGTGCAAATTGAAGTCACATATACGCGCGACAGCACCGCGTTCATCGTTGAAGAACTTCATGTACTATGAACCCTCAGCCCATCCCCAACAGGCCCTTAAGTCTAGCTACCTTCCCAATAATAATACCCTTCAGCCCCCCAGCACCCATGGCAGGCACTTCATCCACGCCCACAAAGCGCCTCACAAGTAGATTGAAGATGTTGCCAAAGCCCAACGCCATGACCGTACTAGTCAAGATAATAACGTTATACGGCATACTGAAATCCGGCGTGGGAAGAGGAAGTAGCAGCGAAGTCGTGCGAACGTAGATACCCTTGTTATCTCCTGACTGCGGCGACAGAATACGGATAACAGCAGGTGCGACGTCGAAGCCTCGATTCGCATCTGGCGGGTACTCCGTGTAGCGCAGAATCGCTTTCTCGAAGTCGTAAGTGAGTGTGAGGGTGGAAGCTGGTGGGATGACCATGCGTAGCTCGAGGTGAGTGCCGCGCTTGCGGTCGACTGCTGGTCGGTAGTAGGTCTCCTTTATGGGGCTTTCGTCCGTGGTGTCGACGCGGGCTTGGAGAGTGTGCAAGTATGGTTTCATGAACCAGGGCAGAGACTCTAGGTATACTATCTCGACTGCGTTGGTGGTAGACGGGTTCTTGATGACGGACTGTGTACTACCGCGTTCCTGGCCGTGACCGTTGATGGATCTTGCTGCGAAGACTAGAGGATCAGGGCGGACAAGACCGGTTTTCATTTTCTGCTCGGGTAGGACGAGGTCGAGGTCTTCGCCGACGGGGAGCTTGTAGCATCGGAGGGTGTCTGATGCTAGTCTAGACTCTGTGAACTCTCCTGTTGTCTTGACCTCGAGTTCGCGCTCCGGCGGCAAGTTGATGCAAACGTTATTCGCTTCTCCCTCAGCCTGATCTGCGAGTGGACAGGCTCCCCTGAGCGGTCTTCCAAAGACCTCCTCTAGTGTCCAGGCGGGCTCGGTGCCCTTGTTCAGGGGATAGCAGGTATCGTGCCCGTTGTATGGCTTGGAGGTGTCGCATTCCATCTGGTTGATTGGTAGAGGTCGCGGGATAGGGTTGTCTCTAGGTCGCTTGGCTCGCGCAATGTCCAAGACCATGTCTACGCTTTGCTCCATCTCTATTGAGCAGCTTGAGCTACCCTCTTCGCACGTCGGGCGTACATCGATGGCCATGGTTTGGAATGAAGCGTCGAATAACTTGTGTCCGTCCAGTAGGCTGGATACACCAGCCTTGCCCTTACAGGGTAGTAGCTTGAGAAAAGGTGTAAGGTTCTCCGTGCAGACGACTTCGTGGGGTAGCGTGCCGTGGAGGAGGTGAAGGTTGGACGAGTTGCGGTGCTGGCCTTCCGGATCGAATGACATGACAGGCCGTATGGTCTTGGTGGCATCGATGAAGTTGATCGAAGCACAAAAGAGGCCTGACAGAGCGTTGGTAAGCTTCAGCCATCGCGCGAATGCTCTATTGAAATTAGTCGAAGTTCCTCGCCCAATGCATGGAAGTCGTACTCTTCCTCTGTATCAGCCTCTACCCAAGCCCACAGTTCGACACCGGTCCCTCCTTCTCTTGCGCCGTTCCATGGCCGCTGTCCCCAGTTCTCGGCATCCCATCTTCCAACACTGAACCTTAAATGTAGTTCCCTCGTATGCGCATGTTGCAAGATCTGTCCAAAAGATCGCGGGAAGTAGCGGAAGTTTTGTTGTTCGAATGCAGTCGCGCTTTCGTTGCTCCGGAAGTTGAAAGAGGCCAGAAGG